TCTCAAAATTTTAAAGAACAATGAATTTAATTATAATTTTTTTATAATCAAAGACTTGAAGAAATTTTCAAATGTAAGTTAAATTAATAATTAGAGAAGATTAAAGTTTCAAAATATATCAGATAAATACAACTTTCAAACAAACTAGAAGTATGTTAGCTTTTAAAAGCTTCCAATGAAGACACAGATTTGTGCCATATTCCCCTTAAGAAAGGTGTTTTTGTATTTCTCTTAGTAAACAATCAGAACTTTCTGTTTTTGTTTTTTTTTCAGTTTGTGTCTTTAACTTAACCATATGCTAAAAATAAGAATTATTCAAATATAGGAAGTATATAAAAATACAACTAATTTATCCTAAAAATTTAAGAAAAGTAGAGAAAATCTAGATTATCCAATATTATTTTAGTTAAATTATTCAGTTTTGGTAACATCATCTTATAGGCCCTATATAATGCATGTAGTATCCTTTTATGGAAAAAGAAAAACATTCAATCTTTTGAAATGCATGTAGGGATCACATGATTGGCTACAGTAATTTTTACTCTTAATGTAGAGGGAAAAAGTAATGTCTTTAACTTAACCTAGCCTCTAATATAAAACGGTCAAACTTAATCTCACTTATATCAACACTTAGTGATATCTGTGAAAAATTCATTAATTTTTAAATACAAGAAATAAGAGAAGAATCCTACCTTAATAAAATCCACGTAAATAAGTGTAAAAAATGGTATCATTAAAAACAAACAGAAATAAGTTCTAAGTTTTCATTTAGTGTATGAAATGTCAAAATGAAACACATGGTACATAGTCGTTGATAACTCATTATATGCTTTAATATTGAAATTTTATTACGTGTACTTCGAAAAAAAAAGTTTATTTCCTAATGTTCCACTCCATTTATGGAACTCACAAAATGTAATGAAAAGGTAAACACTGCAAACAGTGATCGATCATTTAAAAATCTACAAACAATTTATAATTCTGTGAACAGGGTATAAAACAGGGATGAATAGAAATCAACAGGTATATGAGATGCCTAAGGGAAGTAATCACCTTTTTTTTTGAAGAAACACCCCGAGCTCACTAAGTATTGAATATATACGAGATCATTCCAAAAGTTCGTAGAATTTTGTCATAACTTTTATATCTGATGTCATATTATAACCAAATTTACTACGGATATTTTAACAAACAATTAATATAATTTGAGCAAATAAAATTGGAAAATACCTTGATAATTATCAAAATTATCAAAGATTTAAGACAGCAAAAATTGGGTCATGGATCAGTGTCAAAGTTGAGCTATATACTAATAATACACTTTATAATATCTAGAGTCATATCTCTTAAAAATGGCGCTTAAACGAAATAAAATTGAAATGTTTAAATTTAGTATTGTTCTATTACTTCAGATGCTAAAATTATGCAAAACATCGCTTCTATTAAAAGATAATTTCTAAAGGCAGATAGAGTAGACTTCATGAAAAAAAGCAAAATAAAAAAACCGATAACTTTGAAGGACGTCTTGGAGCAGCAAGTAGCGATAAAATTTTGTTTTGCATTCTGAAAACCTTTAAATCAAACTCAGACAATGCTTAATGAACCAGGAAATAGATACAAAAAGTAAAAAATAGATATAAACTATTTGTTTATAATAGGAATGACTATTTTTTGAGTGTTAGAGACTTTGAATCGGACCACGAACGGTCTGTAACGAAACAAATAACTGTGAAAAAAGTCTTGTCGAAGAGTTAGTAACGTTATGAAACACGATGTGCGATTCATTTTTGCGGAACTTGTATAAACAAGAGTTATGTGTAGATAAAAAATTTGAAAACATTGATAATACAACTTAAGGTACTCAAATGATTGTTAGCGAACTAATTGTCAAGGGCTACTATGGATAAGATTTTATGAATTGGGAAGAAGCTACAAACCGCGTATGAAATGAAAAGGCAGAATAATTTTGAGAAACTTTCTCGACGTTGTTTTTGACGTCACAGAGTTGTTAACCGTGCTCCCTGGTGACGAAACATGTTGCTTTTAAAACTATCTAACATGAATTCCATTTAATTAAATGGAATGAAACTTTACACACTGACAAAATAAATGTTTTTACAGAAGAAAATGTGTTGATCTAAGATCTGAAGATGTGTAAGAATAATATGATGACGGAGGACATTGTCTACGTATTTTTTGAATGACCCTCGTAGATGGAACATATCTAGATAATTCTATATTTAGAAAAAAATTAGACCTAGGATTTGGTATTAAAAAATCATATTACATCAACAAGAGCACTGTAAGACCAAATAATTGACGAAATGATGACTTTCAATACAATTCGTTGACACCCCTACATCAACTTATTTGACAGACGTCTCTTTTCGACTAATGATTACACCCAGACCATAACTCTGAGTTTCCAATGAGTGCTGAATACTAAAATACCTTAAACAGATGATAAAAAGATGATAAGGAAATATCACTCTATAAATAACGATGGTTGATAATATGAAAAGCTGATCGTCACCTCCTTTGTGACACAATGTAGTCATTAGTTGATCGTTATCGATTAGAGTTAGTAAAACTTCTAAATAATTTTTATTTATTTATTTACTTGGGTGGGGGGTACAATTTCCACTATCCCGGAAATTCTTCTTTAAAAAAGTTAATAACCTCATTTATAAAATAAAACAAACGTTTAACATACTTGGCTAGGAAGACCGTTTATGCTTTCAACTTCTCCGATGCATTTAAGCTGTACCACATCTCCTGGTTTTTCCCCGCTGCTTTTAATAATAGTTAAGGCCTGAATTTTCTTCGGAGATTGACCTATATAATTATTAAAAAATAATACGAGATAAATGTTAATTTTGAAAATTGATTTCTGGTTATATATTCCTAACAGAAACTATCGTTCTAGCAACATACTTTTTAATTTGGCCAGGTAATATGTATATTTGAAAAAGTTAGATTATTAAATAACTTCTATTTAATGATTTTACTTAGGTGTAACATTCTTGATTAGACATATTTTGTAGTTTTGTTATATTTAAATGGTCGATGATGCAAGCGTCTTCTTTTGCTGAATTAAATAGAGATTGTGCTATTTCTTTTTGCATATTATGTATCCATTTTTTTATTTCATCATGTCTACATTGAAAAATCTCACCTTTGGTCGATACGATACTTTTCTCTAGACTTTTGAACATCTCACTCCCGTTGGACACTCTACATCGGAAAATGGAGTAAAGGTTTGGGTCAATTGAACATCTGCTAAGAGTTAAAGACGCAAAAATCTGTATCCTGCATGCAACATACACTTCAGGATCAGGATAACATCTATCAGACGTGATAAGATAAATTTCAAAGTTCTGATCCGTTTTGAGGATGTAGGATCCTGTGACGTTAGTCTTTGCAACTTCTTTCCAGTCTTCTCTAGTGTTGTTTTGTCGGATTTCCAGAAACATTTCAGGAATTATGTTATCTTCATTGATATAATCATCAAAGTCGCAGGAGAGAATAACATTATTTTCCCCGATTGTAGTTGACAAGCTGGCAAACAAACTCCAGTGCCCTGTATGCATACTAAGAACTTCAAGAAAAAGTTCCAACTGAAACTTTTTTTTCTAACAATGCATGAAATCTTAAATTGAAAAAAAAAAGTTGACATACCTTGACAAAATGGACAAATCAAGAAAAACAAGATCACCTCATACATGTACATAGCTGAATCAAGGAAGTGAAATAAATCGCTATGTCCTTGAACTGCACTGTTGATGAAAAAATATCTTTGTAAATGATTTAAAGGGTTTTTAAGATTTAAAGAAGGGCGGCACTGGTAGTTCTAAGTATGGAAGATATGCTTCTGAAGCCGGCTCTTTGGATCATCATACATAGATGTACTACAAATTTAGCGAAAACCGTTTAAGGTTTTCAAACACATCAGATAATTCTATAAGTATATTTTTATTAACTGGGAATCATGTAAATGATTAACACATTCAGTGCATTTGACTAGCTCTTTGATACGAGTCATGAAGATAGATCATATAATTAGTTAAGTTTAAGCTTAAAAATGTTTTAGAATAAATTGTCTTTTATAGTTATGATTAGTTGTTGATAAATTAACTTTTCTGACAACTATTTCAGATGATTTGAAGGTAATTAATTAAGGTCTTAAAAATTGAGCATGTTGCCTACCTGGTCAATTTATAAAGTTTACATACATTTTTAACCACCAGGTTGTTAGCTAGCCTGTTATTCAATTATTGATAGATATTTATTTCACAATGCTAGCATCTGCAATCTGATTATACAGCATGTGTTTGTTTATTCTTTGCAGTCATCTACCAAAAGTTTTGCGAAGTTATATGCTCAATATATTGATGACTTTCACTACACATGACCATACGGTCTTATTTAACGGGGAAATTTCGGACGAGAATTGTTTTTAACTTTCCCTATCCTCAGCCACAGACCTACTTTATGAAATTTAGTGAGACTTTCACAGTATCTTAGTTACATCCGTAGTTCCATTTTGTTCTTCTCTTTTACAATTTGATACGATACATATTTTGGGTTTCCCATATTAAAACATGAACACTGTCATTCTTTCTAGGATGACTAAAGGTACTCATCTCTATCTGCAAGTCCTCCTATACCACTAAATAAAATTTAATAATAATTTCACATATTTTTTACATTATGCTAATTTGCACTTCCTATTTTACTTTTTGATCCGAAACTTATTTTGAATCTCTAAGAACAAAGCACGGACGTCGCCATTATAATCATAAGGGAGGCAGGGGTATCATTGAGTAAGCTCAGTGCTCACAGGCCTTCAATCTAGTTTTACTATATTTATCTAAAAATCTCAACTGGTAAAAAAATTAACATGTTGGCATTTGATATTGTTAAATCTTAGTCTTTTTTCTCTTTAATTCAATTAAAAAGCAATCATATTTGACACATAAAAAGCGTACAAAAGAGATTTTATCTAATATATATACAGAAGCCATCTAAGTTGTGAAAATATGCAAATTTAATTTACTTTTTCAAGGAGGAAATTATTTTTATAAGCTTTAATTATAAAAACAAACCTAACTTTGTGAACACTGTAGGATACTAGTACTGAAAAAACTTCCTTATTACAGAATATCCTTTATATCTCAATTTACATGTATTTGATAAGTGGCATTCAAAGTTTGACTCTCTCTCTCTCTCTCTTTCTCTCTCTCTCTAAACTGCAATTAGAATAAGATACCACGTTTAAGACATATTTAAGTTAGTGAACTATTTTACTTAGTAGGTAAAAACTATTTAAACTACCTTTTCTTGAGTTTTGTGTGCGTGACCATTTTAAATGGAATATAAAACATAGATAACTGTAATCCAATATTACGTGCTTCATCATTTTTTTGTCACCAGTACATGTAGATTATGAATATCTGGAGGTTTGCAACCAAACATGCTTTCGTCGGAGTAATATTATTATTTATTACATGAACAGTAATCACCCCTTAAATGTATGTCAGTTCGTTTAGGGAAGTTATCTACCTAGAGCTTGTCTTGTAAACTACATCCCTTGATGCATCATTCCGATTTAAATCAAATGAATTTATATTAACTTTAGAATGGGTCTGCTCTATTCATATCTGGAAAAATAGGAAGATTCGCAACGATGATATGTCATCTACAATGTATTTAGTTCAAACATCACCCATAGTTACGAAAATCTAGACCTACCCAAAACATTAATCGTTGGTTAATAATATAAAAAATATGGACATAAATCATCTCCTTTATCAAGTTTATGGTGTACATTCCAACCATGTAAGGCATCAAAGGGCTTAAATTAAAATCTATTGAGATGTTCCTCTTCGACAAACCTTACACTTAGAAACTTAAGATCGGAAGCAGCATCTTAACAAGACTAGTTGTAAATATCCCATGATTTTATCATCCAGGTAGTTTTTTCATAACAGAGATATAAGTTACCTGCAATTAGTCGACGCCCTGTCCAATAAATTTGAAAATTGTATACACACCTGGAAAGAGTATGTCATATCTCAATCATCATAAATAGTGATTATATGTCGGGTCACAAAAAGAACTTTGGACAGATTAGATAATATGTAGGATGTTACATGTAACATTTATAAGGGACATAAACCATCAAAAGTACAATAAATGTTGAAAGATATTGAAATAGTGAAAAATTTGCAAAATTATCATAAAATACTTTGGACCTTTACATGAACATCCGGCTTTAATGCTTCTCGATTAGTTAAAGAGTGTGACCCCATTGGACAGCAATGTATCATTACTTTCTTAATTTATACCCTTTTCCTTGAGGTTTAAGGCTTACGTATTAATATCAGACCCCAAGTCCACCTCATTTAAACAACTTCAATATTCGACTTGACTGACGTGAAATACTTTGACTCTTCGTCTTAACTGATTTCAAACATTCAGACTACAAATCGACAATAACCGTGTGTCTCAATCTATCTTATTCCTGTTGGGCTTAACTAAACAATAATTATTTATCTGTAGCCTGTTTATACATTTTCTTTGTCTAATTTTTCATCTGGTGAAGCTTTATACAGAATATAGAAAGAATTAATTCCTTCCTTCCTGACTTCATATTAACTTTTATCCACTGAATTGTTTTGATATTCCTTACAAAATTTGTATTTATGGAAAGTTCAAATTGAGTTAAGGGAATGAAAAATATATTTTTTTAATGCGCTTAGATTACATGTATGTCTTTAACAGGAGTGTAATAACAATGCTAATATAAAAAATTTCTCCGTCAGACCCTGGTAAAATATATTTTTTCTACGGTTGTGCTACCTGCTAATTCCATTGCTTTTAATTAACACATGAACACTTACCTAAATAGTAAAACGTATGATCTACAGTTTGCTTTTTGGAAAGAAAATTTAATGCTGACACAATTTATGTTTTGAAATTCATCGAGTACATTAAGCGGTATACTTATGGCCTTAATACAGAATCTTTTTTTTTTTAATAATCCCTCGAATTGTAATCGAGAGATGCATATTCCATATAAACTTCGTCTATCTAATGTTTATAGATTCAGGAAAATGAACTTGCACATTTACAATTTTTTAAACAGACACGAACATCGAATCCGAGAATGACACTCAGCACATTATTTTTTTCTTCACCTTATCAGGGTGAGGGTTAAAAGGAGATGACACATCTAGGTTAGCAATAACAAACTTTTGATAGATGAAGAAAAAATAGGAGAAAAAAATATTCATTTATTTTTATTGAACGTGACACAAAATGACAATTTTAAAACATATTATTGTTATATTTAATAGTGAAAACACAAAGGAAATGTAAAAAAGAGGAATATACTTATAATTTTCATAATACTGTATAAATAGGGTACCCTTCTTTTCGACCTCAGTACATTTATTCAGAAATACTCTACACATGTTTAGAAAATGAGTTCTTCTGAATCTGTTCTTGAGAAGTTCAAGACTGACGAGGTAATTGTGTCCTCAGGAAAAGGAAGATCCTCTTTGAAAGCTTTACTAAATATTTCAGCCAGATCTTTTCTGTTGATGATCATTAATCCTTTATGGATTCTACAATAAAATATAAACTTTTTAACACTGATGTTATTTGTATAACTTCCTGTTAAAAATATTATAGTCCATTGATACTCTGATCAAAGAGATAACTCTTAATGACATACTAGTATATATCTTTTATTCTTTTATAGATTAACCAAGTTGAAGTGTCTTTTTTGTCTAATTTCGCCTCGCAAGCTCTGCTATAACTGTTTGTATTTTACTTAAAGAATATACATTTTATTTGGAAAATCATAGATTATGGAACGCCGTCTCTGCCTTATCTGGAGAACTTTAATTATATGATGGTATTTTGTCATTATATGATGGTATTTTGTCATTATATAATGGTATTTTGTCATTATATGATGGTATTTTGTCATTATATGATGGTATTTTGTCATTATATGATGGTACTTTGTCATTATATGCTGGTACTTTGTCATTATATGCTACTACTTCGTCATTAAATGCTACTACTTTGTCATTATATGCTATTACTTTTCATTATATGCTACTACTTTATCATTATATGCTACTATTTTTCATTATATGCTACTACTTTGTCATTATATGCTACTACTTTTCATTATATGCTACTACTTTGTCATTATATGCTACTACTTTGTCATTATATGCTACTACTTTTCATTATATGCTTCTACTTTTCATTATATGCTACTACTTTTCATTATATGCTTCTGCTTTTCATTATATGGTGATACTTCAACATTATGGGTCCGCAGATGATCGATAGATTTGTAGAAGAGAGAATAGATGTTAAATAATACAAAAGGAAATATGTAAACGTTTTTATGCATACAAATTATATAGTATGTAAATGAGGTTTTCCTTTTTTTTTTTTTAAATATATATACTTCATTTTGTTGTTTTTAATCGAGATTTTACGAAAACATCGGTGTCCGTTTTTGGTTTTAACATTTATTACAGAGTACTAAATTTACCGCTTTTTGGCAGGTGATTATCATACTGCTGATTCAGTAATAAATATGCATGTCTCCTAAAGTTTTTATGCATTAATGAATTCATCTAAACCTAGAAAATGTTATGGAAAATTTGAATAAATTCTGTGCAACAATAAAAGGAAAACCCTAAAAATCCGAAATCCGGGACTGTCGGGAGTCTGGAAGACTAGATTTACCGCTTGCCCTTAAATTTGCCACTGGTGTTTGAACTTCTCTCGGTTTTGCATTTGACCATTTCTCTTACACGAATTCGATCGCCAATAGTAGTAATTCCAGAACTGCTCAATTGCTCATCGCTCAAGCTTAAAATATTTTCAACGTCTCTTCTCTCTTCTACAAATCTATCGATGACCTGCGGACCCATCATTAGTTCTTTGAGGATGCTTTTCAATGTGATCGCGTTTTCACAATTTTGCGCCATTTTTTTCCCTTAAACAAGTGTACTACTTAACGGTATCCCGATCCCGATGTTATACCTATTGAATAATGGCAAAGTACCAGCATATAATGTTAAAGTAGTAGCATATAATGACAAAGTAGTAGCATATAATGAAAAGTAGTAGCATACAATGAAAAGTAGTAGCATATAATGAAAAGTAGTAGCATATAATGTAACACAATTGACGTTATGAAAATTATTATCATTTAATTATTACATAACTATAAACATATTTAACTTATATTCTCTATCAGGTGAAGGTTCTTATATTGTCTTCTATTTATTAATGTGTTTACTATGTATAGATATTTGTTTGTTGTTTAAAATTCGGACGTGTGTAAACAGGGCATAATACTCCCTGTACGTCCAGTGTTTATGGGTGAGGATTATTCCACCTGTTATGTTACCCTCACGACTTTGGCATAAAGTGATCGTTGAACCACCCTTCGGTCGCAATATTACTTCTGATGGTCATTCATCTATTGCAATATTACACCTGACGGTCATTGATCTACCGCTACTATGGCCATAAAATGTCAATAGTACTGACTGATCAAATGAGTGGACAATGGCTGAGGAAAGTTAAAGACTATATAGCTCTAAAATTGGACTCTCTTTACACACAACGCTCTACTATACGACAAGGAACAACACTGACGACATACCTTCCCTGTACTGGTGATACTAGTGACAAGTTAATACTAGAACTGAAATTATTTTAGTATTCATTTTTTCTAACAGTGAGCTTATTAAGACTGTCAAATTCTACACACAAGTGTATATTTATATATTCGGACTGGCTGATTGTTTTACTTGAACTTTTTTGTTTACTTACGTACTTCATTAAAAACTTATATAAACCCCATTGCACGTTGTTGTGTTATAATAATGAAAAGTAGTAACATATAATGACAAAGTAGTAGCATATAATGACAAAGTAGTAGCATATAATGAAAAGTAGTAGCATATAATGACAAAATACCATCATATAATGACAAAGTAACAGCATATAATGACAAAATACCATCATATAATGACAAAATACCATTATACAATGACAAAATACCATCATATAATGACATAGTACTAGTATATAATGAAAGTTCTCCACATAAGGCAGTGACGGCGTTCCATAATAAATGTTCAAGCTATATATTATGCGAGTGAGCAGAGGTTTATGAACCTTAGGAACATCATTTTTTTCACTTACTTTCTGATTCTTACTCTACTATGCTTTGATCCTCCCAACAAACGTAGCAATCTAAAGGTCAATTCTTTGGCAGGATTTTCTGCTTCAAAGAGTTCCTGCTTTATGGAGACCGGGAGGCCCATCTATAAGGCGAATAGACCCGCCTCGTTCAAAGTAAAGCATTTACAGAGGGCGTTTATACTGGAAGGGTTCAAAACGGAAAATGTAACTAAAATATAAAAGGAATTACAATTTATGAGATTGTATATTAGCATGAAATTTTAACAAAATAAGATAAGTAAAACAAAAATGAAAAGGAAAGTGGGTATACGTTTGAAATATATAACGTTTTGAATTTTTCTCTTATAAATATTTCATAATCATTTTAAAGTAATATTCCGAAATAGTTTTTGTTTTAGTGAACGAAAGATCTGAAAATTGAATCAGATAAAAAAGGATATTTATCAACTTTATCTTCAGCACAACTTTATTTATTTTCGTGGGAATTCGATTCCATTCTACAAATGGACTTCATTAAAATGTTATGTAAAATCTTGGAAACAAAAAACTTCCATCGCCTTATAGTGTTAGGTATTTAAGTACGCTTATCTATTAAGACCAATTTATTTTATTTGAATGTCTGATTTTAGTAGAACCTTTCTTTATCTTCTACAATTCCTTGTTTAAAAACATTGCGAATGACACAAATATTCAAGAAAAATACTTCTTAAGCAAAAGACTTACCGGTACTTTCAGTATTTTCACTTGCAGCCAAATTTTTAAATTTCTCTTTCTTCTTTCTTCGCCTCTTCGGAAAACTCTGAAAAAATGTAACAAGTCATCAGAACATGATAATTCGTTACTGTAAAACATATGCATTTAACACATTGCAAATTTACTGATTACTGTAAACTCGTATTTTCGCGAAATAAAAACTTGTGCTTTAATTCTAAGATTTTATTTTATTTTTTTTTAACTGCATTTCATGGATGAACAATTTGTAAGATTAAATTCATTGAAGCTAATTATAAACTAATACTCTGAAATTCAACATCTTGTGAAAGACATGGTTCCATGGATGGATTTATACCAAGTAAAAATAATAATATAACCAAATAAATATTCTATCATAATGTATTTAAACAGGCAAATAGTTGTTTGGCTGTATGCTAAGCCACTTATACGTATTTATGTGATAAATAATTTCTCCTTAATTTAGACCCATTTTAATTGTTGGATGTATAATAATTTTAGATATACGAACTCTTATATTTTGTAGTATTTAATGAGTATTCGAGCTTTAATACATCTATTTTATCTTTCAAATCTACGTTCGCAGAGTAAAAGATAGCGAAAATGATTGATGGCGATGGGGTAAGGACAGAAGCATAAACCACCAGAAATTTTGAAGGTACGATCTGGTGCCTCTGAGGAGCAAAAATCATCCTCTGCTACCAAGTTGCAGCCACTGAACCCTTCCTATTAATCAACTAGATTTAACATTTTCGAACTGCCAGTCTAGCAAAAAAACCTAACTCTTGCTTTACAACAATAACGGGTAATTGAAAAATACTATATGCGGATTTAGAGAGTCCCTTAATGGGTCAAAAGTTAAAATAAATATATAACTATGTATGAGGCGCTAGGATTGTCCCAGAAAAAAAGCGAACATTTTGAATATTTCAAAAATTTTTCAACCAAAACCAATACTTTTGGCATGTACAGCTGTACATGTAGTTGGAAAATGATTTTTTTAACAAAATGATAAAAGACTGTGGTATCATATGCATATAAAAGCAACATTTAAATGGTGTTAAATGTCGGTGGTCAGCGCACATTTTTCTTTTTGGAAAATAGCATGTAAACGGAATTTCCTTAATTATTAATTTATATGGAAATATGTCACAAAATTTACCTCAGTACTAAAATTATTATGAAACACGTACATGGAGACAACATCTGATGTAATTGTGTATAAAAGATTCACTAATGACAAATTTCCGACAATATATTTCATCATGTCCCACAGTACTTTAAACTAGAGGTTGTCAAAATTGTTACGATAATATGGAGCATCAAATTATCATTTGAAAAAGAGAAGCATGGAAAAACCCAACTGTTTTGAAATGTTTCAGGGATATGACTCCCATCCATTTGAAAAAGAGATTTTAGCTATGGAAAAACCTGTATACTTTAAGCAGAGAGAGTCTTAACTTCATTTTAATTTTTAAAAAATATGCAAAATAAAAAAAAGGTTTATCCCGACATATCTGTAGAAATGTTTCAGGTTGACTTGATTGGTTATCTGGCTTAGAGATGGCAAAAATTGTACTATTACTGGAGAAAATAGGACCAATATCACCCCACCCTCCAAATAAAAACACAATATATATATATATATATATATATATATATATATATGAGAGAGACAGAAGCTGGACGTCATAAACGTACCTGAAAGCAATGCGATCAGTAATTAATATTAATAAGCTCGAACATGTTCTCAAGTTCAACAACTTCATGTTTAATAGCAAAAAATCTATTTCAAGATGTCTTCATTAATTCATTTAGGCCCCATATATCGATATTGAAGTTGGTGATGAAATTGTTATATTAGTAGTAATTAAGAGTAGAAATTTATAAGACTCCCACCTATATCTTATGCCCTCTAGCTGTCATCCCCCACACACTTTTAAGGGAGTGCCTAAGGGTCTAACTTCATTTATAATTTTTTAAAAATATACAAACAGCAAAATAAAAAATACATGTTTAACTATTGTTTCATTTCAAAAGAACCTACCAATTCTCCATTCAAACAAACGAAGCGTTAAAAACCCAAAATGTCATTACTCTTTAAAATCGAAAACTTTGTAAGCACATATCAGTTTTGTAGTACAAATATGTATTTACTTTCAAATTTAGATTTATCAGTATCATATAGTAAGAGATGACATGATTGTTTAAAGCTATTTTGGTAATTCCATAACAAACTAAATGACTTCACCAGAATGAATCTCAAAGCAGATTATTCTCTCAATTTAGTGTAAACTCTACAGTCTTTTACCATCTTCTATGTATTGCTTTCGCTTTGTTAATTAGTAATAAGATGGCATATGTTTAAAAAACTTGTATTCTATTAAGGTGCCTGGAGTGGAAAATAGTTATTTTTTAGTACAACATGTAATTTATTGTTTAAATATCTAGTGTTTAGTAGCTTAGTAGTAGTGCTAGTTGTTTTTGTTTCTATTTTTCCCTTATGACTTTTTAACTTTTTTCTTTGTCCTGAGGAAAATAAAATTTGACAATTTTTATTGTTCGTGTCGTTGGTCATTTTTAGTGCTTTATATATATATATATATATATATATATATATATATATATATATATATATATATATATATATATATATATATATATATATATATATATATATATATATATATATATACACACACTATTAAATCACACCTTCCCCTGTCTCCTTATGTTCAAGAGCTGTGTAGCGTATACGTATTGGTCTTTGTCACCAAATGTATTCTTAGATGTTAATGGCGTGAAGCCTCCGTCAAATACTGTCACTGGGTTTGTGTATAAAAAGAAATAATGACTGATTCATTTGATTTTTAATTTTTTAATTTTTTTTTCTGAATTTGTTTTGATATGTATAGTACAATTCTGTGTAAACTGACCTACCCTTTCACAACAACTACGAAACAAACACAGATTACTGATAGAACAACTGTAAATACAGATTTTTAAACATTTTAAAATTCATCGAATTTTTTTTATCTACGTTTAAAACGTTATGGTAAGGATATCGGATGGTCTGCAGACGGGCCGTCATGATTTACAATTTGTGCAGAACAAATATGAGAAAATTAATTTTTTTGCGTGGAGATTTTACGAATTAATCTGGACTGTTGTTGCTGATCTCTCCTTTTCTGTGTCGCTCGGAACTCCATTGGGAATGATGATTCGTCTTCTTACAGTTTTACCTCTAAAATTGCTGCATTTGCAATAATTTTTCTGCGACCGATATCCACAAACAGCGTTTATCGTTCGACTTTTCAGCGCATACGCATTAAAACGTAATAAAAAAGTCCCGTTCAGGGAAAAAAACTCACCTTATTGAAATGCGAAATTGAAGTTAATAATGGTAAACTTAAAAAAAGTGTATATCTTCTTTACCTCCTGTAAATTATTCTGTAAATATGTATCATCATTCTGATATTGACTGAAAGGTTCTTAGCTTAAATTGAAGAAAACAAAATTTCTTTGTATAAAAATTCTTTCGGCAAACTACACTGATTTTTAGACAAACTGTATATTTAATTGTACGAGCACATTTTCATTATATTTTTCAAAACAAAAATAAAAATTACATCTTTACCATTTATCCGAATTGTAAGACTTGAAAATTTTAATCCAGATCCACAGGAGCTGTTATAGAATTTAGAAACCTCACAGGTAAAATGGAGAACCTTGTCGAACTCCGTTACATGATAGGTTATTCTACTGAACATTATAATCTCTCCACCACTTTCATTTGTTAAAAGCTTTATTTCATCTTCTTGGGTTACAACTTTCATCCAGTTAGCATTATTTCTCTTTTTAATGCACCAGTCTATCTTCTAAAAAGAAATAAAAATGGAAAAGACATCCAAATTCATAAATAAACCTTTGTTTAGTCTAAGAGTATAATCTGAGTTGGTTTTCATTGATAATTAATCGAATAATGAAATTAATATGGGGCTTCAACCAATAATGAAATTAAAAATCTCTTTAACTACCCTTGTATCCGTCACAATTTTAATTTCCCCCGTATAAAAATCTTTAGTGCAATTACATTTTTTACTCAGCTATTGGCGGCGGAAAGGGAAAATAAGACGTTAATGCAAAGCTAACAACTTATTTTTATAAACATACTGAAATACAAAACAAACAACCTTTGAAAATCAACAGACTCGTTTGCAAAATCAACAGACTCCAATGCAAAACCAACGATCACTAATGCATTAAAACCAACAATCATCCACTGAATTGACGCTATATGGCGTGCAAAAAAAAAAAAATCTAGACATTACCTGAATTAAAGCTAGATGGTGCGCAAGTTTATCTACGTCATCATTATTTGTGTACTTTCATAGGAACGTAAATCCCATGAAATTGTCTATCAGCATTTGTCAATTTGGCAAACCTTGAAATGTATTATAAAATATATTATTGGTATCGAAATCATTTATCGGAATATATAAAGGGGATCCAATACTATATAAAGTTTACCCATTTTGTTCTCAGACTGATCTTGTGCAAATATTTTAGGGAATGACTTGTATGATTTAAAGCATAACGAACAGAAATTAGGACAAGATGTATGTGTTCCCATCTTTTTTCTTTCTTAAAAATAGTGATGGGATGTTGGGGAGATACTGTTTTCGGAGAAATTAGGAAAATCAGGGGGCCTCGGGGCCCAAAGCCTCGGGTTCGGGGTGGATGGAGACTCTGGCTGAAATTGACTTTGAGCATTTTTTATGGTCATTTAGAGTACATAATTTTACAGCGTGAAACCATTTTCTGTGTCAGTCAAAATGTCCTTGTGACAGGGTCTACAACGCAAAGATACCACCTTACCTTGTACAGGCGTTCAATTAAGTCTCACCCTTCTAGACGTATAATGTAAGTTTCTTTTACGATTTCAACTATTTAATTGCACATAAACCATTTACCATTTGGATCTGGTGCAAACTAGTCTATGCATGAATTTATCATTTATCAGACATAAGCATTTTCAGAATTTAATTTTACAGTTCTGTATTATATAATTCATACAAATATACAGGCGCAGATGCAGTATTTTTTCCTTAAGGGGGGGGGTCCATCATAGTAAAACATCTAGCCCTGGAGTTTCTTGACATACACAAATAAAACAAAACAAATAAACAAACAAACAAACAAACACCTTTCACAAAAGTGAAAAAAAATACCGTATTTTGGGGAGGGGTTGTGTGGGATTAATTTTCAAAGCTTTATACACAGGAACCTAGTACATTTCATAACCACTTACCATATTCGTGTATTGGATGAGGGGTCACCGTTTCTCTAAGAGGCGTCCAACGTCACTTAAAGTAAACATTGTTAAGTATATGCATTTAAAAACTCTGCAAAATCCAGGGGGGGGGGGGTCCGGATCCCCAACGACCCCCCCCCTTTCATGTTTAAATGCGTAATTATATGACAATAGTTTGATAACATTATTTTTTAGTTATTTTCTAACATGTAGGAACCATATCAGTGCGACATGATACTTCTTAAATTAACTAATTCTAAAAAAAAATTTGAAAGACGTCACTTTGTCGTACAAAGAAAATCAGAAATGGTACATGAGCAATGCAGTGCATGAACACAATAAAATAGTTTCATATTATGAACTTTTTAAGAGTGTAAGAGGCGTTTTTGTATTCCAAAAGGGATAACGAGATATCCAGGGAAATTTTCTCTTGGGGAAAAATACCAAAATCTACTACTGTTTTCTTGTATTACATTTACAGCCGTTTGTAGATGTCTTGCTGCCTCTGTGTGAATTTCGAGAGTCCAACATGATGCTTTCATCCGAGATAAGCCAAATCGATTCTAATAGACAATTTTGCAGGATTTACGTTCCTATGAAAGTACACAAATATTAATGAGGTAGGAAAATTTAATTTGGGTTATGTCTGTTTTTTGTACGCCATCTAGCGTCAATTCATTGAATAATCGTTGGTTTTGCATTCAATATTTGGTGATCGTTGGATTTGTTAGCCCTTAGTATATTGACAAAGGCTGAGGCATTCTAATGCTATCAAACTCTGCCGTTCATTTAGTCTCAAAGATGCTTAATTGGAGAAAAATCATTAAAGTTTATCGGTTGGTTCAATTTGATCCGAGTGACTGTTTGCAAGAAACCATTAACAAACCCCGACTAAATTTCACTGGGTGTAAATATTATTGAAAATTGGGGATACAACGCCCACGTCCTCCAGTGAATGTAAAACTGCTAAATCTGACAAGCTTACAAAGTAAAATATAGCAACCTCTTCCTTTCATTTTCTTTTAGATTGTTATGTTTATTGTTGCCTATAATATGTAAATATATCGGTTTCAGTGGTTTCTAGCATATAGGTTGCAGTTAAGATAATCGCATTTGGAAATATCTAAAGTTAAAAATGGTGCTTTTAAGCGCCACCGTCACCAACATTATTCAAATTCCTCTCTGCCTATAGAAAATATTCTACAAGAGAAAAAATTAAAATAAACTGTCTAAAAATTAAGTGAATATAAAAAAATTGTGTGTCTGGATACCTCTAGTGCATAAAGTGATACCGAAATTTATGTTTGCATAACTAATAAATTAATTAATAATGTGATTGTGTTCTCTGCTCCTACTTAAGCTCCTAAACCCGACATTTCAATGTTGCTATTTGTGAGCTCTGGCATTAAAATTAGTGCAGAGTAATGCGGAAGCATTTATTTTCATAATTTTTTGGCCAAGCAATAAAACCATATTTTTTACTATGTTACCTTTCAATATATATATAATTGTGTTTCCGAAACTATAAAAAAGTTCTCGTGAGGGACATTTTACAGTAGCCAAATAAACAATTCACGATATATTACCTGTTCGTTAGATGTGAATGCGGAAGCACTACAAGACAAATGAATTGTCCTACCAATTCCGTAAGTGTTGAAATTCTGATCGACAGCAACACCATTTTTGTCGTACATCAAGATAGGAGATACTTTCCATTGCCCGTCTGCTTTAAAAGATAAATGATAATTAGACAGTGAACAAAAAAAAAAAATCAAATAAATTGAAAATTAAAACTTGTTCAACTGAACCATGATTGTTTGTAAAATAATCACCTTCTGTCGAATTTTTTGTGTTTATAAATAATGTCGAATTTGCACTTCCTTTTCCACATTCACTTGACAATGTGTATTCGTCATATCCCGATTCACACATTATTTCTAGGTATGCATCACTTTGCATGATATGGTAATTGATCTCCGACTGCTGTACATTTATGCATCCATCTTTGCTGTTAGATACTACTGCGGTGATTGGAGGGTCTTGTAGAGATATTTCAGTGAATTTTCCCGCAATATTCTTGCACCACCTTATGTTCTTTTAAAAAAAGATAAAAATCACGTTCAAATTAAATAAAATGCGATTTAAATCGTAATAACATCGCATGTGAATAATATTGAGATACACGTAATGTATATAATTAAGGGGTTATTCAAGCAATACAAATCAGCAGACAAACAAACAAAATTGAGAGGTGTGACCAGGTACTATGGAGGCGTGAGAATCCCCTGGAGACAGGATAGATAGCCATGTATTAATTAATATGATCGGGAAATAATAGAAAAAAACTAGAAAATTATTTCAGTTTTAATAAGATATTCTACCCTTTCTACAACATTTGAAGGTTTTCGCCTTGAACATATCAGTTTTATACTAATACATCTGTATGAATTTCGAGGATAAAGGGTACATGTACTTATAAAATTGCTCAGGGTTAATTGGGTTTTTTAAGACAGCTTGAAATAACATAAAATTAACAATTATGGGAATTTTATATTGTACCCCAGACTGTAAAGTGTTTTTAAAGTATAATCATAATGTGTTAGCATTGAATAAAATCGACATAAAAATGCAAATAACGATAAGACCTTACAGATATCAGTTCTGAATCAGTTTATTAAATTTCAAAACGAAATACTGAGTAAATAGTCATTTGACACTCATTAACCATTACAATGCATTTTATTTCTTATTACATGTACTTCGACATAAGATATTTTAGTTTCTAATGCACTGCTCTTTTATTGAACATTAAGAGAAAAACTACCAAATATAATGAAAATGGTTTTCACTGCAACAGCAATCGAAATAAATTATAAGAATAGGTATATCAATAGCAATTCCAGAGGAGATTTGAGATGCCTAAGAGAAGTAAGCATCCTTTTTCAATAGGAAAAACTCATTTCGAGAGTACTGAATATTGATCATAGAGAGGGAATATTCCCTAAAATTAATTTAAAAAAGAACTAAGAACTGGTGCGAAAAAAATCAACAATGGCAGGTTACTGTAAGACTGAATAGTTAACGAAATGATGACCTTCAATCAAATTTGCTTACATATTTGTTACATCTACTTATTTTTCAGTATTCTGTCTTGGATAATACCGTATATCAGTTTTTTTCCGCGTCATGTTTTTTCCGCGAATCAGAACCTAAATCAGTATATTAAATTTACGCAAATCAAATTTTCACCATTTCAAAGTCCCGGTGATTATATTATTTACAATTGTTTAAGCCTATAAAGGAATCGGATGTAAAATGTAAAGTCATTAAGCTTGAGTTACTTCATACACGGGTGAGAAATAGAAATAGATCGATCGACCTTCACCTCGTCAGTTTCGGAAGACCCGCTCGGCTGATTACACACCTGTGTTGCGTACTATCTCTCAAATCCGCAGATATTATTTTTTAGATTTAAACAATCATAGATCATTTACTGTTCAAAACTGACTAGCAGCTCAGGTATAATTAGTTTAATAGCTTCTCGAAAGGAACGTGGTCCATATAATTAGGTAGCTTGTCAATTAGTAAACAAACAATAGCCTTGGGCTTATACCTATTACCTGTATCTTGCGCTTGTCCTCTGATCCCGCTATTTCTACTCTCTACGATATAAGTATTAGGAAATAATTCTACTACAAGAAGACAACTTTGTATTAAATTTACGCTGTTTTATTTTCCGCGATTCAGAACTCGTCGCGAACAAAGCGGAAATTGGATAACCGCGGAAAAATCCTGATATACGGTAGATCATACTAAGACCATGCTCCTGAGATCTGAATGACTGCATGGGTACCTAAAACCATTTACAGGTCAAAAGGATTGATTGATTGAATATTGTTTAACATTCCTCTCAAGAATGTTTCACTCATATAGAGACGCCACCACTAGTCGGTGGAAAACTACAAAATTTGTTTTATACTCGGCCCTTAGGGCCATTGGGCAGTGAAGGATCGTTTTCGTGCCAGCATCTATTGCGACAAGAAGGAAGGGATTTATATGTTTATAGTCACTACAACTTTTAAATATGAATGATGTAAGAGGTATATGATGGTTAAACAATAAGACAGTGGTAAGCAATCGTAAATTAAACACAGAAAGGGATATAAATAAATGTCTAAAAAAATAATTCAAGACATGTCTCAATATCTTTAAAGAATATCTATATTTTGTTGATGGAATCTATTGAAATTTTGCCTTTGCATATCTTTTTATGGTTGATATAAGACTTTATTTTTTTGTTAAGGAGGATGGATTTATATTTTTCTATTTGCTCTAATGCCGAAATTCTTTTTAAATATCATTTTTTTCGAAAAAGAATGACACGTTTAACTTACTTGGCTTGGTAGACCATTTATGCTTTCAACTTCTCCTATGCATTTAAGTTGCACGATATCTCCTGGTCTTTCCCCGCTGCTTTTAACAACAGTCAAGTCCTTAATTTTCTGTGGTGATTGCCCTAAATCATCACAAATTTTGATTCGAGATAATGTTGTTCTTTTAAATGATATTCATTCTTATAAACTTATTATTGAATGACTTTTGTAATATATAATTTTTTTTAAGTAAACAGGAAATATGTAACTGCAAATTTAAAGTATTTTTTTTTTATTTCCAATTATTGTTTTAAGTTTTACATACTTGATTAGACATACTAGTAATTCTTTTGGAAATTAATTTATGTTAGACAGTACCAAATATCGGTATGTTTTATTGAATTAACTACAGATTGCAATATTTATTACATAGTACACGGTATGAAATAAATGCTGAAAACTTCATACAAATCATTTCATTTTACACTCATAAAATCTCACCTTTGGTGGACACAATATTTTTCTCTGGACTTTTAAATAGCTTACTTCCGTAGAAAAATATACATCGGAAGATGGGGTAGAAGTCTGGGTCAATAGAACATCTGCTCAGTGTGAAAGACACATTTATCTCTATGGTACATGATATATTCTGGAGACTCCAATCAAACCTCTCACAACTAGACGAACGGATGAAATAAATTTCCAATTTTTGATCAGTTTCGAGGAGGTAAGATCCCGTGTTGTTAGTATATGCAACTTCTTTCCAGTCTTCTCTGGTGTTGTTCTGTCGGATTTGCATGATAATTTCAGGGTTAATGCCATAATTTTTTGTAAATTTATCGTAGTAGCAGGATAGGCTAACGTTATTTTCCCCGATTGAAGTTGAAGGACTTGTAGACAAGTTCCAATACCCTGTATGCATAATATATAATAGATTTCGAGTAAATACTCAAAATTGAACACTTTTTTCTGAAAATTCGTGAAATCGTCAAGGACAAAAATGTTAACATACCTTTACAAAATGTACAGAGCAAGGAAAGCAAAATCACCACAAACATAGCTTAATCAAGGTACCGTAGTAAAATATTTTGCAATGATCTTGAATTGAAACAGGTGTGAAATGTTGACAAAAATATCTTTGTAAATGTTCTAAGAGGTTTTCACTTGAGATTTAAAGTTGTTCTAATGCCTCTTAAGCCTGACTTTTTTGGATTTCAGCACAAACAAGTGTACTACAAATTTAACGAATACAATTTAAGGCTTTCAAACACATCAATTAATTTTACTTGCTTATTTTATGAACGGGAAATTCTGTAAGCGTTTCTACTCATCCATTGTCATTGATTAGCTCTTTAATATAAGTCATGAAGATAGACCAATAATGTATAATATAGAGCTTAATTGTCTGGATACTTGATGTTGCTGTGCTCTGTTTGTCATAAATTAATACGCAAGGTTGGGAGATTGAATGATCATCATTAATTAATAAATGAAAATGCAATCAAAATACCCTAAAACCTTAAAAATAAGCCGCGGCTTATTTTAAGTTTTGGTAAGAAGGTGGGGGCTTATTTTCAAAACCGTCTTATTTTCAAATCGCGGCTTATTATCAGTACGAAGATCTGGTAAGCGGTGAGAGCATAATCACGGCTTATTATCAATGCAATAAATTGTAATCGATAGATTGAGATCTACCTGTTTGTTCTAAATATAGATTATCCCGGTAAACTCTGAAACAATTAAATGAAAAGTGTTCAAGTGCCTTTAATTCCGGGCGCTCGTTTTTTAGTTTTAAAACAGTGAGGTTTAAATCATGGAGACTGGTAGTCGTACTCTTACTCCAAGAAAAAGTTATCACATAGAATTTAAAGTTAGGGTTGTAGAGCAGTACAAAGAACTGTCACCTGGCAATACGAAAAATCGTATAATCGAAACTGAAAGTATTTTGGAATTGATGAAAGCAATGTGCAACATAGATTAAGTCAGAAATAAAACTGCAAGAAACACCGAAAGGTTTGTAATCCAATAGTTCCTGACGGAAATCACTTTATCCTGAAATGGAAAGGCAACTACATCGCGAATTTATAGAAATTCGGGAAGAGATGGATTGAAGGCAAAATCATAGTGGTTACCCTAACAAAAAAAACTATAGTTAACTATAGTTTACTATGGTTAACAATAGTTAATAGAAACTTTGTAAACTCTGATCTACTATAGTGATCAAATTTGACACTTTGAAAAACTTTATCGAAAACTTTGACACTTTGAAAAACTTTGGCGAAAACTTGATAGTTTGAAAAACTTTGGCAAAAACTTTGACACTTTGAAAAAAATTGTCGAAAAATTTGACACTTTGAAAAACTTTGTCGAAAAATTTGACACTTTGAAAAACTTTGTTGAAAACCTTGACACTTTGAAAAACTTTGTCGAAAACTTTGACACTTTGAAAAACTTTGTTGAAAACTTCGACACTTTCATAAACTTTATCGAAAACTTTGACACTTTCATAGACATTGGCTAAAACATTGACACTTTCAAAAACTTTGGAGAAAACTTTTGACACTTTGAAAAACTTTGTCGAAAACTATGACACTTTGAAAAACTTTGTTGAAAACTTCGTTACTTTCATAAACTTTATCGAAAACTTTGACACTTTCATAGACATTGGCTAAAACATTGACACTTTCAAAAACTTTGGAGAAAACTTTTGACACTTTGAAAAACTTTGTCGAAAACTTATGTAACAGGGGGTATGGCAATGACACACAAACTCCTGTCAGGTTCTTTGAATATATTTATTCACAGTGGAGTGATCATATAGGTATACATAGATAGCCCTGTAAATATCATAAAACAACAATAAATACAATGTAAATATCACACACATCGTGTTCATTCATTACTTTACATGAAGATAATACCTAGATTATCATCCTCTATAATTTACACATTATCATCAAAGGGAGATACTCTTAAATATATAAATATTTACATATTTCTCCAAACATAATCATAAAAAGTCTCAAATATTAAAAACATATAAATCTCACCATTATGTGGGAATAGGCTTTCCCAGTATATTATCTGATGGACAAAATGTATGTCTATATGAATGGTGATCTGTAATTTAATACAATAATGTTTTTAAAATATAATCTATTAAAAAATATACCAATTGCTCCCTTTGAACAATATAATCAAAAATATCTTTGATCATCATAAAAACACATAATCTGAATAACTTCAAATTACTTCTAGAAAATACTTCATATTGATAATGTAACCAATAATAAATATGCATCATAAAATAACTTTCTCTCAAAATCATTCATTCACTTTAGTAATTAAGTGCAAATGGATATAGCTTTTGCATTCTATAGGATGAACATTTAAAATAAGAAAATATTAGTAAATTACCAGAGAAGGAAAATCTTCAGTCTTAAGTCTATGTATATAGGTCTAGTCTGATCAACCATAGAACAAAGAATACTCATACAAAGCGGGAAAAGTCCAGACGAACCAAGAAAACCAATCGAATCAGACCTTTCAAATCAATAACCAATAAAACCCAAAATAACAATGTCCACTTCCAATATACCTGATCAATGCCCTGGGGTATATACACATATGAACAGGTAATACAGGTAAGGGAAAACTAAGGTGTGGATCTAAGTTTTTAATAAGTTAAATAAAAGTTGAAATAAATATTCTGGTAAGTTCTATAACTTTATTATACACAAATCTAACACTATTACACTTAGACACGTTGAAAAACTTTGACAAAAACCGTAACACTTTGAAAAAACTTTATCAAAAACTTTGACATTTTGAACAACTTTGGCAAAATCTTTGACATTTTGAAAAACTTTGTCAAAAACTTTGACACTTTAAAAAACTTTATCGTAAACTTTGACACTTTCATAAACGTTGACGTAAACTTTTGACACTTTAAAAACTTTGGCGAAAACTTAGACGCGTTGAAAAACTTTGACGAAAACTGTAGCACTTTGAAAAACTTTATCAAAAACTTTGACACTTTGAAAAAACTTTGTCAAAAACTTTGACACTTTAAAAAATCTTTGTCAAAAACTTCGACACTTTCAAAAACTTTATCGAAAACTTTAGCACTTTCATAAACTTTGGCTAAAACTTTTACACTTTCAAAAACTTTGGAGAAAACTTTAGACACTTTGAAAAACTTTGGCGAAAACTTAGACACGTTGAAAAACTTTGACGAAAACCGTAACATTTTGAAAAAAACTTTATCAGAAACTTTGACATTTTGAACAACTTTTGCAAAAACTTTGACACTTTAAAAAACTTTATCGTAAACTTTGACACTTTCATAAACGTTGACGAAAACTTTGATACTTTGAAAAATATTATCGAAAACTTTGGCACTTTGAAAAACTTTGTCAAAACTTTGATAAGTTGAAAACTTTGGCAGAAACTTTTGACACTTTGAAAAACTTTGGCGAAAACTTAGACACGTTGTAAACCTTTGACGAAAACCGTAGCACTTTGAAAAAACTTTATCAAAAACTTTGACACTTTGAAAAACTTTGTCGAAAACTTCGACACTTTCAAAAACTTTATCGAAAACTTTAACACTTTCATTAACTTTGGCTAAAACTTTAACACTTTCAAAAACTTTGGAGAAAACTTTAGACACTTTGAAAAACTTTGGCGAAAACTAGACACGTTGAAAAACTTTGACGAAAACCGTAACATTTTGAAATAACTTTATCAAAAACTTTGACACTTTGAAAAACTTTGGCGAAACTTTGACACTTAAAAAAACTTTATCGTAAACGTTAACACTTTCATAAACGTTTACGAAAACTATGATACTTTGAAAAATATAATCGAAAACTTTGACACTTTGAAAACCTTTATCAAAAACTTTGACACTTTGAAAAACTTTTGCGAAAACCGTAACACGTTGAAAAACATTGTCAAAATCTTTGACACTTTAAAAAACTTTATCGTAAACTTTGACACTTTCATAAACTTTGTCGAAAACTTTGACAGTTTGGAAAACTTTGTCAGAAACTTTGACAATTTGGAAAACTTTGGCGGAAACTTTGACACTTTGAAAAACTTTGTTGAAAGCTTTGACACTTTGAAAAATTTTATGAAGAACTTTGACACTTTGAAAAACTTTGTTGAAAACTTTAACACTTTGAAAAACTTTGACATTTTCATAAACAATCTCAATCTCTATACTATAGAGGAAATAAAGAATGTCTGTCTGTCTGAGAGAACTTTTGGCACTTAGAAAAACTTTATCGAAAATTCTGACACTTTCATAAACTTGACTAAAACTTTGACACTTTCAAAAACTTTGGAGAAAACTTTTGACACTTTGAAATACTTTTGCAAAAACTTAGACACGTTGAAAAATTTTATCAAAAACTTTGACACTTTGAAAAGCTTTAGCAAAAACTTTGACACTTTGAAAAACTTTATCGTAAACTTTGACACTTTCATAAACTTTGGCGAAAATTTTGACAGTTTGAAAAACTTTGGCGAAAACTTTGACACTTTGAAAAACTTTGTCGAAAACTTTAACACTTTGAAAAACTTTGGCGAAAACTTTGACACTTTCATTAACAATCTCAATCTCTATTCTATCAAGGAAATAAAGAATGTCCGTCTGTCTTGTGCCTGGGAGCCACGCTTGAAAAACTGTGCGGCGAAAACTGTAACACTTTGAAAAAAATCTATCGTAAACTTTGACACTTTCAGTAAACTTTGGCGAAAACATTGACAGTTGAAAAACTTTGGCGAAAAGACAGA